GGGTCAGATCGAGGCCCTCACAGTGAGGGAGGGAGTAGGGCAGTGGCTGGAGTGAATGAGGCCCCAGGGCCAGGGTGGTTCATAGGACAGAGCTGCAGGTGGCTCATCCAGGGGTGTGGGGGGGAGGCAGGGCAACTCCCTGCCACTGTGTGCACCCTCAGGTTAAGCATGAGGGCATGTACCCCTGGATTTGCGCGCAAGGCTGCCAGCTCCGGCTCTGCAACCTGTTTCCTTTGCCCCGGGAGCTGCATGACGCCATGTTTTGCTTCCCGCTGTCAAGTGGGCAGGGGACACAGCGTGGCCGGTGCGCAGCTCCCCAGGGCAAAGGCAGCAGAGCACAGAGCCCCAACCTGCAGTGGGCAATCTGCCTCTGCCCCACACAAATTGGGGGACACCTGCTCCCCCATGCATCCCTTGGTGGTACATGCAATAGTGGGAAGCTGTCCCCCCCACCCCTAAATGAGCTGCCCTACTTCTTCCCTCACTGTGGGGGGGGGCCTTGATCTGCTCCCCCCCCCTGCAGACTTGCATAAACACTGGCATGGCACTGTCTGTCTGCCCCTTGCTTCCCCCTTTTCCCCGGGCTCCAAACCCTGCACAGCCCCTGCACACTGTCACAAAATCCCCTGCCCCCATGCGTACCCCAGAGCCTTCCCCACCAACCATACAAAGTACCTGCATAATTTTGAGTTTTTAACTCTGCAATTAAAATCACGATTAGTTGCAACTAATCGCAACCAAATTTTTTAATTGTTTGACACACCTATTAAATTTGTAAGGAAGGACCAGAGCACCTGTGGTCTCTTTTCTCAGGAGGCCAGCTTCATTGCCAGGGAATCTAGTTCCCTGAATCTTGAAGTCTTGCCTGCATAATGGTCTAACTTGAATAGGAGATGCTGAAACTGTCCCAGTCCTAGCCTTGCTTCTTGCCTGGTGGTTGGAGCACTCTCTCCTAAGGAGACCACGATGTACAAGGTGGGCACTACAACCCATGCTTCAAATGAGAAGTGAGCCAGCTATTTTGACTCATGGAAGCAGCTTAAGTATCCAAGTTCAGGAGTGGGTCTGGAATTGTTGTCCCATAGTCAGATAATTGCAGCCTTGAGTTGAGTGTCCACACTGAGGGAAAGGGGCAGAATTTCAGGCACACCTCGCCTGCATTTTATCAGCTAGCTCAGGGCCCCCCCACTGCGTTCACCTTCAATTGTGTAAATCCCATTTGTAGGGATGCCTAACTTCCCCCTACACTGTGTAGGGAGCTCTGGATTGTGACTTCCATACTGAAGTTCCTTTGTAAATCTGGACCTCAGTCTTAATTTCAGTGTACCTTTTCCTTAAGGTATCTTGATTTTCAAATTATGCATGAGAATTAGTTTGGGGAGAAACGCATAGCACTGGTAATCTGAATGTTTTAGAAAAAAGGAAGCATTATTTTTAGCATTTGTTCCTAACTGACTTGTAAACTCAAGGAAGTGAATATACCTTTAAATACTTAAGTACCACATAAAACAGGGTACTTAATGACTTGAGGTGACACTACAGGAACAGTTTTGATCATGTGTAGAGTAACTTCATGTGTGTGTTAGTGTATGAACAGGGTGCCTATGTATCTGGATGCCAACATTAATGAAAATAAAGGCAAACAAAATGGGTGATCAGTTGGGGCAGTGATTCTCAAACTTTCTTTCTTTTTTTTCGCAGACCACTTGAAAATTGCTGGGGGTTTTGGCAGACCACTTGATAAACATTTTGTTCTACAAATCAAAGCACACAACTTGCATTTTAATATCAGTAGTTTTGCCTTACAAGTACAGATAGTCTCAATTTGTTCTGCAACCTTTCTGCAGACCACCCAAAACGGAGCTTGTGGACCAGTGGTGGTCCGCGGGCCACAGTTTGAGAACCTCCGATTTGGGGCATGTGCTGTGTAAAGTGCGGTAGGAGGGGCAAGAAAATTTAAAACACTGAAGTGCATTGGTTATCCGTAGCTGAATTACTGTCTGTCTGCTTTAAAAGCCCCGGTTGTCCCTGTACCTGTATGTGATTGTGCTGAGAGTTTGTCATCCATAGGAAGACTTCTCCATTGGCTTTCTGCAACTGTGAGAAGGTTGTAGAGGTGACATTTTGCTTTGGGGGTAGGGTCCAAGCACAGTTATGTAGAGCTGTCGCCATTCTTGACCACAGCTATTGAACTAGCTGGCTCAGCAGAAAACAGCAATAAGAATGGCAGCCTGAAAGAATAGGTTAGAGAGGAAAGACATTCTGACCCCGATTGTGAGAGAGGTAAATTTCCCAAGCTGTTACCTTAGGTGTGTCAGGTCAGTCTAGCATATGCTGTTTGGTCAGGGTTGGGTGAGAGGAGGTCCAGGTTTGCATGCCTGGAGTACACTGCAAAAAAAAACAAAACAAAAAACCCAACCAAAACTGTTCATTGAAATAAATGTCATGAGTTGTTAACAAGTGCAGTGTCAAACAGGGCAAAATGTAATTCTCTATTTTTTTTAATTACTGAAATTAACAGAATATGGCACTAATTTCTACAGTGACTATTTCTCCCTTCCGAACATGAGGCTTGATTTGTGTTCTTATTAACTTTGTCCTATAAATGACCTTGCAAGGAGAATGATTCTAGAGGCTAAGTGAAACAATGTCTATATTTTCTGAAGCTTCAGGCTAAGTTTTATTAATGTAATGTCTAAGATCTTTGAAGTTGTGACTTTACCAGGAAAATCATAATCTCCAAACCTTTATTCATAATGGGTATGACTTCCAGGGGGAACAGAATACCTGCTGTGCTAATTATTTCAATTATCAGCTACTACTAAAACACGTAATGGATTTTCTCTGCTTCCACAGGTAAAAGGCATGACATTATGGAACTTAACTCTGATGTTGTGAACTTGATCTCCCATGCTACACAGGAGAGATTACGAGGGCTCCTAGAAAAACTGACTGTAATTGCTCAGCATCGAGTGACAAACCATAAGGTAAAGGAAATTGTTAACCAAGTTTTTGCAGTCAAGGTTTTCCTTCTTTGCAGCCTTCAAGGTAAACTCTTTCCATGTGCAAGTATGCGCATACAGTTCATGTGTGTTTTTTTTTTTTTTTTTTTAATCTACTTCAAGACTATTTTAAAGTTCTTTCCTAATAGCCAATTGTAGTTAATCCTGATGTTTATCTTTTTGTTGCCTTAGACATGGGCAAAACATGGTAAGCTTAAAAAATATATTCAGACGTTTAATGGAAATGATACCTTAAATGCAGAGGCTCCCTTTTCTGCACTTTTGGCATGTGCTATTATCAACATCAAAATGTTGTTTAAGTGGTTGGTAGGTCTGGGTTGACTTCAGTGGGGCCAGAATTCCACCTTCAGCATTTACTCCTGTTACCTCTCTTAGCTCTGGAGTGCTGTTGAGTGTTGTGCTGGTATCTGTTTTGTTCTTGAATTAAGTTTCAAACCTGGGACCAGACTCTACCCCATGCTTCACTGAAGACCGTGGTGGTACTACAGGTGTAAATACAGGGTGAATTAATGTGCAGGACCTTTACTACTATGGTAGGGTTGCAGGAATTAGTAAAACTAGCTAAACTTTCTTATCTTCAATTTGTGTGTCTTTGAAGGCCTGGCAGTTAATGTAAACTGAACATATTTCACATGGAGATTTCTGGAAGAGGTTTTAAACATGGCACTCCAGTGCCATTTTAGGCACTTCCCAGATTAAAATCATGTTAAGTTTAGTGGTTAATACCATAGACATCTGACAGGAAATATTATACCCTTGGAAAAAAATATATCTATTGGAAGGAAGTGTAGCCATTACTGTACCCTCCAGAAATAGTTTTATGACTTGGGCTTCAGTGTTCATTGTAAAGAATGTTTAGGGTCCTAACATTTTTGTTTAAAACAAAGGAGCAAAAGGTTTGCAGAAAACCTCAGCTTGTATTTAACATAAACAAATTAACAACTAGGAAATGTCAGGTTTCCAAGGGACTATTGTGCAGTAGTTTTTAAATATGAACGTTTAGGCAGTATTCCCTGTGAATGTGCTGTTTAAATTTAAATAAATAAATGAATAAAAACAGCAGGCCTGAACAATTTTTGTTCCTGCATGATTCCCATAGTTGCATTAGGATAAGCTTCTCTCACTGTTACAGCAGCTCTGTTTCGGTGTTGAGTATATTGAATCCTAACACGCATCTGTTTCCTGTGGTGTTCATTTGCTATACAGTACAAATGATAAACAGTAATATACCCTGAACACCAGTGCCACAGTGACTTTTTTTCAGAAGGTTTTCTCCTTACCCTGTAGAAGAGTTATGAGTGCATTTTCAGTACTTGAATCTTGTATTTGTTGCCAAGTTCTTTTTATAGGAATTTTTACAACTGCTTTTTAAAGTTGTACTTGGAAAGGAATTTAGGCAGAGTAACAGTGGACTTTGAATAATGGGGCTTTGAGTTTTTAAATACAGGCACCTTTGATAGACTCCATGTTTCCTAGGTTGTTTAGAAGCTGTCAAGAGCTCTAATGGTGCCTGAAGTAGTTGGAGCTTGCTGTTGCAAACCAGAAAATTGACATGTTAGGAAATCAAGTCTAAAGCAGTGATTCTCAGCTAGGATGCCATAGCATCCTGGAGTGCCTTGAGATTCATAGATTGTAAGGGCTGGAAGGGACCTTGCAAGATCGTCAGGTCCAGCCCCCCTGCACTAGGCATGGTCTGCAAATATGATTCATAAGATAAATCCAGAGATTTTCAAACAAATCCATAGTAGTAAACTTCGTTCTTTTGCAATATAAAAACTGCTCAACTTCCTATAGGCAAAAAAAAAGGGGAAAACTATTAACTAAGAGCTGGCATTTTCTGAGAGGTACCTCAAATTTAGCCAGGGGGACCTTGAGTCTAAGAAGGCTGAGAACCACTGAGCTAAAGTGTGTGCTTCAAATTCTCTGAGGAGAACCTCTAGCAGCCTGCATAGTAGCTCTTGAAATTTCTGAATCCCTACCAAGACTTGGAGTTCTGGAAATGTTCTTGCACATTGAAGTAGAAAGCTACGGATTTACACTTGTCGTCTGAGCAAGAAACAACAAAGGGGAATTTCTGGGCCATAGTCTTAGTGTAATATACAGATTTAAGTCAGTCTGCTCCTGTGCCAAAGGACTGGGCCCTGGCAACTAATACACACTGACTAGTTCAAGAGTTGTAGAAGCAAAGATGGAAAGATGATAATTCTGCATCAGACAAACTTGCTTCCATTTCTTTGGAACGAAGGTTGGAATAGTTCACAGTCTTAAAGATGGCATTGAATAGAATACAGACCTTGGAAAAACAAGCCTTTGATCAGCCCTCGTTTTTACATAGGTAATGCTTTCTTATGGGGACTTCCTGCATAATACAACAGAACTTCTTGAACTGCCTTTTTAATAACCAAATCAGGGGTCTATTTAAACACATCTCACTTAAAGAGTAGTAAATTTAATGGACATGCATTTGGAGGGAAAAAAGCAAACAGTAGGCTTATTGGGACCCCAGTGTAACTCTTTCCCTTCCTATCCTTCAGGGCATGATTTTTCTGACCTTGGATAGACATTCATTTGCAGCATAGGAATTACTGTGAATGAGTTGTTGTCTTTTCCCATGGGGAGCATTCACAAATCTAGATTTGCACATGCAAAAAGCCCTACATCTCAGATGTATGTCTACCTGCAGGAGGGTTTGAGAAACACCCTCATATCTTTTGGATTATATTCAATTGAAAAGATTGGTTGGTATCACTGACATGGTAAAAGCACAAAGAAATCCCTTTGGGTAATAAGTCGGGCCAAAAGCAAATAACTTGAAGGATAGAGATGTAAATACTGTGGAGACTGCCAATTTCCAGAGCACATGCCTAGTAGCTGCTGCTTTAATCCTGAAGGAAATGATTTCTGAAGTAAAATCTGCATTTCAGAGATCACTGTCACACGAGCCTTCCCTGTTCTGTACCTCATCAGCTTGTCACTTACTGAACTTCTCATTTAATAAAAACTACATTTTAAAAAATGACTGTTTTAAAACCTGCTATGGAGTTGAACTGAAATAAAAGCAAGGCCACTGACAGTGGAGCTCCTATTTATCCTCTTTAATTTAACCCCATTATGCCTAGTTAAAACAACACACACATTCTTGGATCAATTTAATTGTGCTACAGCAGGGGTGCTCAACCCCCAACCCTCAGGCCAGGTTCAACCTCCAGAACCATGTTATCTGCCCCTGTGGGGCTCCCCACAGATCCTGTGGGGCACCCCATGTGCCATGGCCCTGCATGTTAAATTGGGCATGCAGGGTGGTGTGAGACCTGATCCCAGCCTAGCATGGGACCCTTGGAACCCAATCCCAGCCAGATGGGGACTGGCCCTGTGCCATTCATCTGGCCCACTGTTGGACTCAGGCTGTAATTAACACCTAATTGGCACTGCCTGATTTAACAGCTGACCCAATGGTCTGGTTCCAAGTGAGGTGATCTTTGACCCCACGCTGGCTAATGAATTGACTAGGCATGTCTGTCGCCACCGTATCAATCCGGCAACTGCTTGTACTACAACTAAGGAAACTCACACACTGATGTATAACTGAAACTAATTAATCAGTTTATTAGCAATGGGTAAATATAAATAACAGGGACAACAAGTCACAACACTAACTAAAAACCAAGGACACAGCCAGTAACATTATTCCTAAAACTTGTAAAACCAATACCTAACTAATCTAATGCCTGTTTTACAATTCAATCCCTATAGAGGCTCAGCAAAACATTAAGCTCAGAAGCAGCAGTGACTCAGGAATGGTTATGAACTTCATTATATGAGGGGAAAACTTTATTAAACACTGGATCTCCACTGTTCCAGATCATAGTGAGCATAGCTCACAGCAAGGGTGATGATCTGGTGAGGGCTTACCTTTCACTTTAGGGAAGAGAAGAGAAAGGAACCAAGGAGGAGAGGGAGCAAGCTGGTGATACGTACACTGGAGGGCAGAGGGCTGCTACTGGAGCATACCAGGATTAAGGATAATAAAAAGTCCTTTTTCAAGTACTTTGGGAGCAAGAAGAGGGCATCAGGCACTGTA